CATTAAAGGTTTTCTCACAGATGAAGCAGCTGAGTAGTTTCTCTCCGGTGTGGATTGATGTGTGTCGTGTCAGACATCCTCCTGTAGCAAATCCTTTCCCACAGAGTGAGCAGCTGAACGGTTTCTCTGCGGTCGACTGTCTCGGGTGTGTCAGTTGAGCGTCTCTGTCTTCAAGTTCTCTTTGACTCTCATTCTTCAGCGGTTTCTCATCAGAATGACTCCCAGAGTTTTCACGTGTCTGACAGTTTGTCTGCAGACATCTGCTCTGAGTAAAAACTTCACCATCTTCACTCTCATCATCACAGTTTGATCCTGACTGAGATTCTGTGTTATCAGTTTTAACAGACGTTGTTCCCAGGTGTAGTTCTGCTTCTGCAGTTTGGTTCTGAACACATTTGTGGTATTTAATCTGTGAGTGCCAGTTGAACTTTTTCCCACAGACGTGGCAGGTGAAGCGTTTCTCTCCAGTGTGAACAGACATGTGCATCTTCATAATTAACTTGGTAGTGAAGGTTTTGTTGCAGAGGTGGCAGCTGAATGGTCTTTCTCCGGTGTGAGTCCTTAAGTGTGTCTCCAGATTCCCCTTCCGGCCAAAGATTTTCCCACAGACTGGACAGACAAATGACTTCTGGTCATTACAGCTCAAAGGCACCACAGGGCCGTTCAAATCTGACCAAGCTTCACTGGTTTCTTCCCAGTCGCCATCACTGACGTCTGTCTCTGAGGGGTCTGACATCTCATTATCAGGCTGTGAAACTGGATGTGGTTTTTCCACAGAGTGTCTGTGATGGAGCTTTGAGGACTGAGGTTTCTCTTCGTCGTCTTCAGTCTTCAAGGGGACAGAACTGAAGATGCATTCAGCTGTATCAGTATCCTGCTGCTCCTCTTTAAGACCTGTGAGCTCCAGTTCTGTTTGCTCCTCTTTAATGTCTGTGGTCTCTGGTTTCTCCTGCTTCACCTCCATCTGTATCTCTGTATGGAACATGTGTTGGCTCAGACCTTCTCTACATGCAAACTTTTGTATGACAGTCTTTCTGTTAAGTGTCTCAGAGACTTTGCAATATTGCTCAGAGGTTAAAGCAGATGGAGTATCTCTGGCTTCATTCTTATGTTCAGCTTTTGTCTCATTGTTGGGGCAGCGTAATGGTTTCATCATATTGATATATTCTCTGTTGCTCTCTCTGTCATTTCTAGTCCTGTTATAAGTGAAACCTGACCAATGTTTCCTGGTCTTTCTCCAGAAGTCGCTGTCACTGTCCTCAGATTCGACAGATTCTTTAGACTTTTTATATGTGGCTTGTTTGAAGAGTCCAACTGCTGCCGACAGCTTTGCAGGACATCTGTGTTTTTTGATCTGAAAGTTCCAACAGAATCTTTTCCCACACTCAACACAGCTGAATGGTTTCACCTTTGAGTGCACAACCATGTGTTGCGTTAACATGGCTTTCCGTGAGAACTTCTTGGAGCAGCTGGAGCAGCTGTATGGTTTCTCTCCGGTGTGGCTCCTCATGTGCAGTTTCATTTGTGAATGAAACCGCCGCTGCAGGCCACAGACTGAGCAGCTCAGCATCTTCTTCTTCTCCTGGTGGATCCTCCTGTGTGACGTCAGCAGCGATCCATCTGAAAACTTCTCACCACAAGTTGAGCAGCTCAGCGGTTTTTTAAGTTTGTTATGGAGGCACTGAGGCGCTTCTTGAACACACTTGTGGATTTTGATCTGTGATGGCCACCGGAATGTTCGATGACAGACGCTGCAGCTGAACGGTTTCACCCCCGTGTGGATCAATACATGATATTTTAAATGTCCCTTCTTACGGAACTTTTTACGACAAACTGAGCAGCTGAAGGATTTCTCTCCTGAGTGAATTTTCAGGTGGTAGCTCAGACCAGCAATCTTAGAGAAGCTTTTACCACACAGAGAGCAACTGAAACGGTTTTTCCCCGTGTGACCTTTCGTTCCATTTTGAGTTTCTAGTTTTCTGTTCTTCAGCTGATTCCAGCTGCCATCAGTCTCAGCTTCAGGAGAAGTTTCTGAACCTGATCGTTCCATCTTCTTCTTCTTTTCATTGTTCACCAACAGCTGCTGCAAATCTGAAACACAAACATCACAATGAGTTTTCTGTCATAATGAACTTTCACTTGTCACGTGTGAGTCTGTTACCACATTTATTGATAATTACTGATGGTAATATCCATCCATCCATCATCTCTACACCTTCATCCTCACTATGGGGGGCGGAGCCTATCCCAGCTGACTCAGGGTGAAGGCAGGTTCACCTGGACAGGTAACCAGTCTATCACAGGGCTACACTTAGAGACAGACAACCAAGCACACTCACATTCACACCTACGGACAATTTACAATCACCAATTAACCTCAGCATGTTTCTGGACTGTGGGAGGAAGCCGGAGAACCCGGAGAGAACCCACGCTGCACGGGGAGAACATGGAGACTCCCTGTTGGTAATATGTGTAAAATACTTTGATGATCAATTCAACACTTTGATATTATTTTTAGAGACAGTATAAATTCTGTGAATGTGAATACTCTCTGGGCTCCAGATGAACTTTTTTTTTTTTAGCACTGCAGCTTCAAACCTTCTCAGTCGGTCTCAGCAGCATCTTTTTTGTACAGCTGTGGATGAATCAGCTTTGCATGCAGATGAACTGTTGTGTTTGTGTTCACTGATGAAAAGACTGACAGACTTGATAAGTGCAAAATGTTTGACAATACTGAAAATATACTCATGTTTTGAAGTTTCTGAGTTTCTGGTATAAACTGATCACAGGTTGATGGTTTTAATTATAGATTTTTGTTTAAACCGTTCAACTTTATTCACTTAATTTAAATTTTTTTCTATTTTATTGTTCGCTGAATCTTTCACATTTTTTTATTTCCTCTTCTTTTGTCTTTTTCTGCTGGAGAGCAGTTTGTTTTCAACGTGCTGAATAAGTCTCAGTGACGTAAATGAAATATTTCTGTTTATCGACAGACGCTACAGTTTCCAGAGTACCCTTAACGCCTCACAGTCACGCATGATGTTTAGTTCTTGAATATTTGCTGCATTTTATTTAGCTCCAATAAAAATTCAGACCTAGGGTTAGTGTTTTAACAAATCACATGAACATTTAGAAATATTCAGAACAGTAAAATGAATCAAATGTTTAAATAAATATGAGGAAAAAAATCTAGATGATGAACTTATATTTGATCTGTAAATGTAAGAATCTGCAGCATTTCTGGATCTCTTGGTTAGAACATGGTCATTATTCTGGGTTTCAAGATGCCAGGTTTGGATTCTGATATCCAGATAGAAAATCATGTTTAGCTGTAGCTCTGAGAGAGACAGTCCACCTCAATTCACCAAATCCATCTTCCATTTGACAAATATTTGTTTTTTTTACATTTTGTGTATTGATCGAGGTGACCATGTGGAACATCAAAGGTCACGTTAGCTTTTGGGTTAAATGTTCTTAAAGAAGTCACGATGATTTTCAAATCATTTTCTTTCATCAATCTGTGGATCAATGTTTGAAGGTTCACAGCTGGAGAAATAATGCAGTTCGAGTCCTAAAATGCTCTCTGTTGGTTGATCTGTACAGCTGGTCTCCAACCGTTCAAAGTGCTTTGATAGAAAACTACAAAGCAGGTAAAAAATGCTTTAAAAATGTCCATGTTTCTGTCTGTTCAACCACAAAACCTCTATTTTTCACCCTTTTTCCCGTGATTGGCACCAGTCGTTACAGTTTTTGCATTTATGGCCAATATTTAAAAGCACACTGAGCAGGTTTGATGGTGAACCCACTCCAGCAGCTCTCTGAGCAGTGGATCTGACTACATTGTCTCTCCAGTTATGAATCTTCAAACATTGATCCACAGATTGGTGGAAGAAAGCGATGAGAAAGTGAACATGACCACCTTCTAAACAAAGAGGTTCTTCAATGTGAACAAACACCAAATGAGCTGTATTTTCCCGACAGTAGAAACTCCAACTCCCATGAATCTTTGCTGCTTCAGCAGCTCCATGTTAGCGGCCGATGCTAAGCTCCGTTAGCCTGCAGCAGCTACCGGGGACTGACCTGCTCGGTGCAGCCGGACTTCGGGCTTCAGCACGGCATCGAGCAGCCTCCTCTGGCGGCAGATCTCCCGCTCCGACCGCTCCACTCGGTCTTCGTACTCCGCCACGGTTTCCTCCAACAGACCGACGATCTCCTCCGCAGCCGCCGTTAGCCGCTCGGTGAGCAGCGCTCTCAGCGCCGGGAGCTCCGCCGCTTCTTCTCCTTTTTCCAGCTGCAGCAGAAAGTCTTCGGCGGCGGCGCTGATCCGCTCATGGACCGACACCCGCAGCAGCCGCACGGCGCACATTCTGCGGCTTCTCCGCACTCGGAGGCTCCAGAACAAAGAGAGCCAGCGGGGAGGTAAACACTCCGAGTTCCGCGTCGACGACGAGAGCGAAGCGCAGAGACGAGAGCGGAGCGGTGAGAGAAGACAGCGACCCCTGCTGGAGGGAGGCGGCATCACAGCGGCAGGACAGGTGGAGCTCCGAGGACAGGTGGAGCTCCGAGGACAGGTGGAGTTCTGAGGACAGGTGAGTCTCTGTTTCACTTCACCNTGGAGGGAGGCGGCATCACAGCGGCAGGACAGGTGGAGCTCCGAGGACAGGTGGAGTTCTGAGGACAGGTGAGTCTCTGTTTCACTTCACCTGTTCCATCCTACGTTAGAACTGTCCGGGTGTTTTCCAGCTTATATTGATTATTGATTGTGGTACCGCTGATAACTGAAAGTTATTTGATGAGTTGATTGTTTTAATTGTATGTTTTTGTCAGATTTGAACTATTTCTCTTTTCTGTTCTGAATTTGAGCTCTTCTTTGTTCCGCTTTCTGCTGCTGTAGTCGATCAGACAACCTGTCTGCACTATTTAGAATCATTTATTTTAGGTTGCTCTATTTTGTATTCAATCTTTCACATGTTGAATTTTTAACATCTTTGTGTGTGTAATGAACTGCTGCAGAAAAAAAATGTTTGTTTCAGTTTTAATTATTCAGGTTAATCTCCATAATTCTTCTAAATGTGTGTGCTGCATCATTTTCTTGGAACAACCCTTAATTGTGCATTTTTATAGTAAATTGCCATTTTAATTGAATAAAAGTTCAGGGTGTGAACCTCAGTGTTTAAACCTGTTGGGTAATTTGTGACATTGATGTGCTGAATAAATATCAAACTTCTTCACCTCCACAGAGTCCAAAGGCTGCTTTGGATTGTTGGTTCTCTGTTTAAATTCTCAGCTCTACACGTGACTCTGTTCAGCGCTGTGAGATGGTATATGTTGAAAACTGCATTATACAAATAAAACTGAATTGGGCTTGACGTGGAGAAAGTTATACAGCCGGTGCAGCTTTTAGGGAAACGAGATGAACATGAAGACATGAAACCATCACATAAACCTGCCGTCAGATGAATGGAGTGCAGGTCTGAAAGGGTTAACAGCTGAAACCCACAGAAAAAAGTCAACAACAAACCAACTGACAAAAGAAAACAAGATCAAATTTGAGCTTCATGGTTTACAGGGAAAACTAAATTAGTAAGATTCAGCTTTGATATGACGACTGAAAAAAACATTATTGTTCAGTTTTAAAACTCTTCAAACATGAATCCATCAAAATGATTTTTGTAGCTACAGCGACAACTTTACATTCACACACACAGACGTAACCTGGAGAAACACCTGAGTGACTCAGAGACACAACTTATGATGAACACCAGGTCCAGGTGTGAAAAGAAAACAGGTAAAGTGCTCCACACAAAGTTTTAGTGTCCTCGTCCACTACAGTGGCAGCAACAGGAAGAACCGGAATCCTCCACGAGTGCCGCCATTAGGACGATCAATACCAGTGTTCAACATGAAACACGTCAGCAGAAACAGGATCGGGCTGTTCAGCGGAGATACCAGACTGCTTAACGGCACGGGTTGGATAACCCTCACCAGCATTCAGGTGGGAGATGTTCTATGTAGCCAGACTCAGAATATCCTGCTTTAATCTCTCACCTGCAGAGTAACTTCTTCTGGACAGAAAACTTAAATAACAATTGAGAGTCAGTTCAATCAGTCCTTTAAACTACTTTGTTTAATGTAATAAACTCACACATTTTCTTGTTGTTTCAGGACTTTAGTGTGACAGTTCTGACAGAGGAGCTACAACAACCGCTCAGTCACATGGATTCGTAATAAAGCAGCTGACCCACAACTACATGGTTTGTCTCCTGTAGGTTTGTCTGTGTGATGATTCTCCAGCACACTGATGGTATTTCAGCTCCGTGTACCACGCAAAGCTTCGTTCACACACACTGCAGCTGTAATGTTTGGCATGTTCAGACATGTGTGACTGCATGCTGGCTTTGTGTGCATATTTTTTACCACAGATGGGACAGACAAAGGGTTTCTCCCCAGTGTGAGTCCTCATGTGGATCTTCAGGTGGGACTTGTAAAGACATTTCTGACCGCAGATGGAGCAGAAGAATGGCCTCTCCTCTGTGTGCAGCTTCATGTGAGTCTTCATGTGGAAAATGTAATGAAATGTTTTACTGCACTCAGTGCAGCTGTATGGTTTCCTCTTGGCATCATCTTTCACTTCTCTGTCAGAGATTCCATCATGTTGTAGAGAGTTTGAACCTGAGTGAGACTTCCAGAAGTCACTGTCAGTACTGTCGTCACTCTCTGGCTGCAGATTCGTCTCTTCAGATGAACTGAACAGGTTTCTGTCAGAATCATTTCCTGACTGACGCTGCCTGGTGTCTTTCCAGAAATCACTGTCAACACTGTCATCACTTTTAAAATACACTCCTCCAACATCTGAGTCTGGATGCAGGTCTGGTTCTGGTTCTCTCACAGAGTCTCTCTGATGGAGCTGTGAGGACTGAGGTTTCTCTTCATCTTCTTCTGTCTTTATTTGGAGGGAACTGAAGATGAACTTGGTGATAGCAGTGTCCTCCTGCTCCTCTTTAATAGCTGTGAGCTCTGGCTCTTCCTGCTCCTCTTGAATATCTTTCTGCTTCTCCTCCCTCTGTAACTCTGAATGGAACACCATGTGTTGGCTCAGATCTTCTCCGTATGGAAGCTGTTGTATGAAAGTCTTTCTGTACAGTGTTGTGTCGCTCTCAGGGACTTCGTGATGTTTCTCAGAGGTATACTGAGCTCTTCTGTTTTCTTTCCAACAGTCGCTGTCATCAGTGTCGGGGTCGGAAGACTCTGCAGCCTTGTCTTCAGTCTCTGCCTGTAAATATGGTTCTGGTTCTGGTTCTCCACAGTCCTCTCCATCAGCCTCCATGTGTTCAGCTGAGCTGCTGAGAAGAAGCTGTGATGAGCGTCGAACACACCAATGGTGACTGAGTTTCTTTGGGCAGGTGAATTTCCTGCCACAAATGCCACAGTGGTACAGTTTCTTCTTTGCATGATCTTCCATGTGCTTGGTCAGATGTCTTCTCCACGCAAAGTCTTTCCCACAGACTGAGCAGAGAAACTGTGTCTGACTCGTGTGGCTTCTCATGTGCTGAACCAGTGAGTCTCTGTCACTAAAACCAGCGTTACACACAGAACACCTCGGGTGACGTCTGAAGTGAAAACTGAAATCTTCACGTCTGCTGAACCTTTCAGGGCACACTGAGCAGCTGAATGTTTTGTTGGCAGTTATCTGTTCCTCAGTTTGATGACGCTGTAAGGTCTTACCAACACACTCATGGCTGATCAGCTCTGACTCCTCATTGAAGGTTTTCTCACAGATGAAGCAGCTGAGTAGTTTCTCTCCGGTGTGGATTGATGTGTGTCGTGTCAGACATCCTCCTGTAGCAAATCCTTTCCCACAGAGTGAGCAGCTGAACGGTTTCTCTGCGGTCGACTGTCTCGGGTGTGTCAGTTGAGTGTCTCTGTCTTCAGGTTCTCTTTGACTCTCAGAGTTCAACAGTGTCCTGTCAGAATGACTCCCAGAGTTTTCATGTGTCTCACAGTTTCTCTGCAGACATCTGCTCTGACTGAAAACATCACTGTCCTCATTTTTAGGTTGAGTCTCAACATCAGGACAGCATTGTACTTTCTTGTCTGTATCAGATTGTCTATCACTCTCAGAAAGTTTTTTATTTCTCTGGTATGTGAAACCTAACTGATGTTTTCTAGTCTCTTTCCAGAAATCACTGTCACTGTCAGCAGTTTCGGTCTCTGCGTTAGTCTTTTTATATGTTCCTAGTTTCAAACGTTGATCTGGATCCAGGCTCCAGAGTGCTTCAGATCCACTGTACTGCCAGAACCTGGTACCACACTTGTGCCTTTTGATCTGAAAATGCCAAGAAAATCTTTTCCCACAATCTGTACAACTGAATGGTTTCTCCTTTGCATGCACCAACATGTGCTGCTTGGTGATTCCAATTTGTGAGAATCTTTTCCCACATATGCTGCAGCTGTACGGTTTCTCCCCAGTATGTTTCCTCATGTGAATCTGCAGCTGGGATCTAAATCGAACTTGAACACCACACACTGAACAGCTCAGTAGGTTCTTCTCCTGATGGATCTTCTTGTGGGCTCTCAGCAGCAACCTGTCTGGAAATGTTTCAGCACATTTGGAGCAACTCAGTGGTTTCTTGGGTTGTTTCCTGTGCTGCTCAGATAACTTGCACTTGTGGGCTTTGACCTGGGCCGGCCACCGGAAAGTTCTGCTGCAGACACTGCAACTGTATGGTCTCTCTCCTGAGTGCACAATCATGTGATACTTTAAGTTCCCTTTCTGCATGAATCTTTTATTACAAACTGAGCAGCTGAATGGTTTCACTCCCCTGTGAGTTTTTAAGTGGTATTGCAGACTTTGTCTTTTAGCAAACCTTTTACTACACAGAGAACAGCTGAACTTTTCTCCTACTGTACTTATTGTCTTGTGTGAATCCAAAGGGTTCCAGTCTTTGTCGCTGTCATCACCGTCAAGTTCAGGAAAGTCTGAATCTGATCCTCCACAGTCCTCTCCATTGCCTTCTGTTGGTCTTTGAACTGGGCACAGTCCCATCTGCTCCTCTTTATTGTGTGGATCCTCCCGGTCCTGCTGCTCAGTAGAAACGTCTCCTTTATTCACCAACAGCTGCCGGATGTCTGTAGTTAACAGTAAAACACAGAAAATCTTTCTTAATGTCACAGGTTTTAACACACATTTTTTGTCATTTTGGTAAAGTTTTGAGACATTTTAATCAGTGAACTTATTACATCAAAAACAGAATCACTTCTTTATGTCAAACTCTCAGAATTTTCCTTGTATCATGCCTTTAGTGTGACAGCTCTGACAGAAGAGCCGCCATTTGACAAACATTAATCAGCAGCTCTGTTGATCTGCTCATAGTTTCATAATGAGTCAAATCTGAAAACACAGCTGATGGATGAGTGATTTTGGACAGTATGCAGTGTCACAATTCTAGTATCTGTGTATTTCTAGTGTATTGATACTAGAAAAGTACTGCGATTTATTTTAGAACATATCTTTCTCACACCAGAGTTTGATGATGAGGTCATGAAAAGTGAAGATAACTGTTGTGACCAATGTGGAAATCATCTCAATACACAAACGGAGTGTTCACAGTGGTAACGCTGACTTTACGCTCAGTCTGCGGATCATCCAATCATTTGCAATTATCTGCTGATGAACATTATAAACGTACTAACTTGGAATCACATCCACTGAGGACATAATTATTGTCCCCCTATGAAAATGTTAATTCTTTTTCAAACATTTCCAAGTGCTTTTTGACAGAAGACATTTTTAACACAGCATTTCTACACATACTAGTTTTATTTAGGAAGCTTTCATAATCTTACTTTGCACACAGAAACAAAATTATTTCACAGAATTCAAAATGATCACCCCTCTGTTGTTGACAGTCAGTTGTTTCTACAGTCTGCAGAATTTAAAACAAGTTCCAGGCAAATCTCCTGAACAGTCACTTGATGGTCTTCTGACGTGATCTTTGGTCTTCACTTCACCCCACAGACAGCAGGAATGTTCACTACGGTCTTCTTGAGGTAGTTCCGCACCAGAAGCCACACATTCTTTGGGTTGTTGTCATCTTGAACGACAAAACATCAACCTGGGTTTTCTATCAAACTCTTCCCACATTCTTTCTTATGGTTCATTCCACCCAGATAAGAGTCGCTGTCTGTGCCAAAGCACTGAAGCCTCTGAACAGCATGATACTGCCACCGCCGTGCTTCACTGTGGGGACACTGTTCTTCTGCCCTTCTCTCTCCAAACAGGCAACATCCACACAGCTGTAGTTTTGTTCTATCTGACCAAATGACAAGCTTCCAGTACGCGTCCTCTTCCTCCATGTTGTCCACAGCAGACTTCCGTCTACTTTGGAGGTGTCTCTTCTTAGGAAGTTTTTCTTGGTCTGGACCTCACATTCATTCCTGTGCAGAACCGTCTTCTTCGAGACTTCCGTTCAAGATTTGGCTAAATCATTTGCACAGACTTTAGACACGTCTTTTAGCAGTTTTCTTTCCATAATTTAGGAAATCTTTGGCTTCCTCCCTCTGTCAGTCTTCTTGGAAACATTTCTCCCTCCAGTTCTTGACACTTGGAAATGCTTTGATAAATTCTAATATCCTTCTTCTGTTTTGTGATTTATTTCGCTGGGTGTCAAAATACACTGCTCAAAAAAAGTAAAGGGACACTAAAATAACACGTCCTAGATCTCAAGGAATGAAATATTCCAGCTGAAAATCTTCATTCATCACATGGTGGAATGTGTTGAGAACAAAACAACATAAACATGATCAACGTCAGTGAGGTGAGCTTCATGGCTGCTGAGGCTCTGACTTCATCACAATCTGATCTACAAACACATGCACACAGCAGCTTATTTACCGTTTGATTGGCAGCAGTTTACGGGTTATGTTTCATATCTGCATTCTTTACAAATACAAGCTGTAGCCCACAAAACGCATGTTATTTTGTTTTTTTTTAAGTTATTGCGGTCTGACCTTTACCTTTAGATGAAGTCCTGCTCCTCCTTCTGGACTAAGTATCCGTTACTTTGTTGTAAAAGTCTCCTGATCTTCCTTCGCTGCACTTGACTTGCTAACTGTATACTGTACCTCGTCTATCTCGCTGTCACTTACTCTGCAGCCACGGAGTCACAAGAAGCCTGTCTGGGATCAGAGCGCCCCCTGCCATGAGGCCAGAGAACTGCCTGCCTCACCTGGAACCTCTTCTCAGCCGTTTATCATCACTCAGCACAAGAAACACGTTGGTAACAAAAACACTGAATATTATTGTATACATCAGCTGAACTATGGAGCATCAGTTCATATATTAAATGTGTTTGAAACATGTTATTGGCGACATCCAGATGTCAGGTAGCGAGGGATTGCGTAATACAAGTGAGGCTCAGTTCGCCGCTGCTCCTCTTCCAAGCATCTGAATGGGAAATTGCGAAAATTCAGCGATTTTTAATTTAAAAATCATCAAAACTGACGAGGCTAAATCAAAAAATAAATACCTTATAGTACAAATCACTGGATAAATATGACCATTTAAATTATTTTATCATCATATATTTTTTTCTTTCCGTGATGTCAGGCTCTGCCTCACCTGACCGCACGTCACTGATCAACGTACGTCTGAATTATTGTCCCATGGAGGTCTGGATGTGAACTCATACTCAAAATAAAAGTGTAAAATCACATGACAGGCTGATCCAGCTTCAGTGAAATCCCTCCAGACCCGTCAGAATGAGGCTCAGCAGTGTGTGGCCTCCACCTGCCTGTAGGGCCTCCACCTGCCTGTAGGGCCTCCACCTGCCTGTAGGACCTCCACCTGCCTGTAGGACCTCCCTACAGCGCCTGGGCCTGCTCCTGATGAGGCAGGATGTTCTCCTAAGGGTTCTCCTCCCACACCTGGATTAAAGCATCATCCACTCCTGGACAGTCTGTGGTGCAACGAGACACGATGTCCCAGATGTGCTCAGCTGGATTCAGGTCTGGGGAACGGGCCGACCGGTCCATAGCATCACTGCCTTCATCATCAGGAGCTGCTGACACACTTCAGCCACATGAGGCCGAGCATTGTCATGCATCAGGAGGAACCCAGGGCCCACTGCTCCAGCATGTGGTCTCACAGTGGGTCTGAGGATCTCATCCTGGTACCTGATGGCAGTCAGGGTACCTCTGGCTAGCCCATGGAGGGCTGTGGGTCCTCCAGAGAAATGCCTCCCCACACCATGACTGACCCACCAAGCCGGTCCTGCTGGAGGATGCTGCAGGCAGCAGAACGTTCTCCACGGCGTCTCCAGACTCTGTCACGTCTGTCACATGTGCTCAGTGTGAAGCTGCTCTCATCCGTGAAGAGCTCAGGGCGCTGATGGTCAACCTGCTGACCTTGGTGTTCTCTGGCAGATGCCAGTCGCCCTGCACGGTGCTGGGCTGTCAGCACAAGCCCCACTGGTGGATGTGGGGCCCTCAGACCACCTCATGGAGTCTGGTTCTGACAGTCTGAGCAGAAACATGCATATCAGTGGCCTTCTGGAGGTCATCCTGCAGCTCTGGCAGAGCTCCTCCTGGTCCTCCTGCACAAGGGAGGAGGTAGCATCCTGCTGCTGGGTTGTTGCCCTCCTACAGCCCCCTCCACATCTCCTGGTGTACTGGCCTGTCTCCTGGTATCTCCTCCAGGCTCTGGACACTGTGCTGAGAGACACAGCAAACCTTCTCGTACTGATGTCCATCCTGGATGAGCTGCACTCGCTGAGCAGCGTGTGTGGGCTGTAGACACGCCTCATGCTGCCTCCAGGGCTGAGAGCACTGACAAGATGCAGACGTGACCAGAACATCAGCCAGAAAGGACGAGGACAGAGACCTGGTCTGTGGTCAGCACCTGCAGAAGCTCTCCTTCATAGGCTGGTCCTGCTACCTGCCTCTCATCTCCACCTGCTGTCTGCTCCATCTGCACAGCAGCAGGTGGAGGTGATTCAGCATCAGTGCTGCTTCCTACCTGGACAGGTTGGTCTCACAGAAGTGTGGCTGACTTGGAGTCACGTCGTGTTCTTGAGGTGTTCCCTTTACTTTTTTGAGCAGATTACTTTGCACGTTTTTTTTTGGTTTTTTTTTAACGTAAATTATAAATAAACAGAAAAAATAAATTAACATTGAAATAAATGCAGTTGGCCAGACAGCAACCAGAACCAGCCGTGTTTGGGTCCACGTTCGGCCTGTAGCTTCAGCTGGTCACAGGGCGCTCAATGTTCTTCCTGTAAGTCCATGGTTTGATATCTTCTTCTGCTTTTACGCAGGTGCAGTTTAAGCTTTATGATTTTTATGAATTTCAGAATATTTGTTCAATTAAACCTAAATCTAAATTTTGACTGGAAGTTTTGTTTTTTGGACCCGTTGAGCTTATTTCCTCGTCCACATGAGCTGATGTCTGGGTTCTGTCTCTTCCAGCCAGTCTGAGTCTCCTCTCTGCAGGACCGATGGTGTCTCCATAAATCACCTCAGAGAGTCGACCAGAACTCTCATTGGCTCCCGTTACATCTGGGCTCTGAGAACCAGAACCAGAGTCTCTGTGACCTGCTGCCAGATCCGTATGAAACACAGAACGGATCAGAACCTTCACGACTAGATGCTGCTTCACACGATGGAAGAATTTCTTCAGTCCGACTTGCAGACAGTTCTTCTTTCGTTGTGATTTAAACAGAACTCCATCCGTGACACTTTCTTTAACATGGGAACTGTTTTCTTATTTGTCCTGAGCTGCTTTTCTACAACCACATGCTGCTGATCACCAGAACATCAGGACGGTCTGACCCGATTCTGATTTGAACGGCCACCTGATGAGTGTTCGTCCGACTCGTCCCGGTTGCTGCTCTGCTCTTTGGTTTTATTGTGAATTACTTCACATGTGAGTCACAGACAGACACTGATGGTCAAAGTAAAGAAAATGAATCCAACGTGATGACGTCACTGATCAGTGATTTATTGATCAGCTGTTTCTGTCATTAATCAACCAGGCCAAACTCAACGACCTAATTTCTTTGAAATAAAACGGAAGAAAAGCTTCTCGATGCGTTTCTAAACGTGTTTACTGTGACCAATAATTGATCGATTGTGTGTTTGTCGTTAGCTTAGCTTAGCACTGAGTGTGTGACTTGTTCCAGCAAAACAAACCGACCTGTTCTCCGCAGCACGTCGGGCTTTGAAACCAGATCCAGGAGTTCCGTTTGCCGGTCGACCCGCTGCTCGTATCCCGGTATGGACCTCTCCAGACGGACGATCAGCTGCCGGCGAGCCGCCGTGAGCAGCGGCCGTCTGACGGAACATTTGAGCTGCTGGGATTTGGACATTTTTCACAGAGCATAGAATCAAAGAACCCGAACAGAAACGTCTCCCCTGATTCCAGCTGCTCACACACGGAGCCGGAACCGGAACCGGAACGCTTCTTCTTCTTTAATGGTTTCCGGCAGGCTGTAGGCGATGCCAGCGTAATGCTGCCCCATGTGGTCAACGTGAAGCATTGACTTTATGTTCTTCCGTAGACGTTGGTGGAGTGAAGAAGCCTCATAAGGCTGTGTTCTCACCACACGCCAATGATTTGCATGTAAAGTCAATGTGGAGACGCGATCAGACGCCAGTCAACGTCCCGGTGCGACTCGGACGTTGACTGGCGAACACAGCGTTACAGCTTCTGTCTATCAACAGCCAGTTAATATCATAGACTGTATAAAAGATGGACGTAGCAACCGGCCCTGAAACATGAAGCCAACCTGGAAGTGTCAGAAACCTGCAGCATCACTACGTCCACTAGCTGCTGGCTCCACAAAGCCCTGGCTCCCATAGACTGGAACTGGAAAAGAAGTGATCACAGATCACCAAATACTGCATTCCTACAGCTCAGGGTGTTTTCTTATTAGTTTTCATGGTCAGATCCAGAGATCAGGTGACCAATCTGAAAATAAATCAATACTGAATCTTTAAAAAATCGTCAACATGTTGCGGGGCAAGGGGCGTGGCTGGCTTGATTGACAGTCGGCAGCGACCATACAGACGAAGCGAGCAGAAGGCGGTAAATGTGGGCGGGGCAGAGAGGGCCCGCCTCTCAATCCGTCTGACCAATCGCTGCTCCTATGGCTCCGCCCCCCTCCGATGATTTTTGCGTCACTGGCTCCAAAAATCCAAGATGTCAACCAGGAAGTAGCAAAACCCTGGCTTCATTTTTTTTTTTTTTGAATCTTTAGAAAATACAATCAGAATGAAATCACATGTAAAGTGCAAATACTGACAACACAATCTTAAGACGAATCAAACAGCAAGGATGAAAAGAAAATAAAAATTAAAAATTAATTAGAAACTATATACAAAAAAATACACATTAAATTAAATACAAACATACATGTGCGAGAGTGTGTTCAAGCAAACAGATTTAAAGATTTACAAATGTTGATTGTCTGAAGAGCCTTTGTGTTGTTCGATGAAGAAATTGTCCTCATATATTGTTCAAGCTCTTTTTTCAGCAAAAAGAATTCAGGCTTTCTGTTGCTAAATTTGCTCTTGTGTATGTGAAATTTAGCCATAAATAAAAACATATTTATAAAGAAGAAAGCACCATCATTGCTATCATTAGGATTGTGTAAACCAAAAATAAAATTCTTTTAGCAAAGGTGAAAATCAGAAAAGACAAAATCAGTGATGAATTTATCAACGTCCCCCCAGAATTTACAAGTAACATCACATGACCAAAATAAGTGAGTATGTGTTTCTGGTAGCGATTGGCAGAAAGAGCAACTAACATCTATGTCAATCTTGAACTTTGACAAATACCTTTTCGTCGGGCAAAATCTGTGTATCAGTTTAAAGGAGATCTCTTTAACTTTATTTGTCAGAAGAAATCTTTGAGGTTGTGTCCAAACCTTTTTCCACCTATTGTCAGACACAAAGTTGGCCCAATAAAATGTGGCCGGAGGTGCAGAGAGCAGGGCATCTTGAAACATAGACCTTATCTTGGGATTCAGAAATTTACCAGATGAGAAGCAAATACTACCAAGAGAAGACTGTAACACATCAGGAGGGTTGAAGGATAAGAGGGAAGAAGCATGAGAGCATCGGAAAAACATGCACAGACCAGATGGGACAGCATCAAAAACCACTGAAAATTCTCTGGCCGTTATTGGAACATTATATCTCCTAAGAAATTCAGAGTAATTATACAATAAACCATCTCCCTTAAACAACTGACTAACCAAAATAATTCCATTGTTGAACCAGCTGTCCAAAAATAGTGTTTTGTTTTTATAGACAGTATAATAATTATTCCAGATAAAACAACTCTGTGGAGAAAAATGATGTTTGTAAATCAGCATCCACGGCAGAAGAAGCTGTTGATGGAACAGAGAAGGTTTCATTGGTATTTTTGGAACGCTGTAATTGCAGAGAAGCAGGAAGTTAAGGCCTCCTAAATTTGAAAACATCAAATGTGGGATAAAGTTCCAATTGGATGTGGGGTTTTTCAAATATTTTTTAATCCACTTTATCTTAAAGGTGTTATTAAGGGCACCAGAGTCAATGAAATTTAAACCGCCTTTGTCACAAGGGCTTAAAGTGACCCATTTTCTTAGGTAGTGGGTTTTGTTTTTCCACAAAAAATTGTGCAATGTTTTATGAACTAATTTATAAGTTATGTTATCGACATGCAAAGACTGAGCAGCATAGGCGAGACGAGAAATACCTTCTGCTTTTGAAAGCAGGACTCTTCCCTTCAAAGATAAGTCTCTCTGCAGCCAGTGATTAAGGAGTTTCTGGGTTTTATCTATAATAGGAGTAAAGTTTGAAGGACATCTGGATTTTTCATTTTTAGTGATTTGAATACCGAGGTTTGTAACGGAGTGTCTCACAGGGATCCCATGAATTGAGGTTGCTAAACAGTCCTCTACAGGTAGCAATTCACATTTGTTAACATTAAGGGAGAGACGGACGCTTTTGAAAAGGACTGGATCCTGCTGAGTGCCACTGATACCTGTGAAGTGTCCCAGAGAAAGAGAGCAGTATCATCTGCCAGCTGACTTATAAAGATCTCTCTGTCAGCAGCAACCAGACCTTGTAATGAACTGAGTTTAATATGCGAATTAAGGAGCTGCACAGAAAGAAGAGATAGATACAGTGATAGGGGGCAGTCCTGCCTCACTGCACATTTTAAAGAGAATCTTGGGGAGGTGCCGCTAGCAAGTTTTATAAAACTATTGCTATTGGAATATAACGTTTGGACTGCATTGCAGAAGGATTGACCAAAGCCAAATTTATTTAAGGCAGTAAAAATAAAATTATGCTCCAAGGAATCAAAAGCCTTATAAAAATCAAGAAAAAGAAAAAAACTGTCATCTTGCACAAACTCTGGATAATCTATGATATCTAAGACTAATCTGATGTTATCTGAAATATGACGATTCTGCATAAATCCAGATTGACTCTCATCAATAACTGTATCTAAAATAGGCTTTACTCTGTTTGCAAGAATCAGTGTGAGGATCTTAGAATCATTGTTCACAGGGAAACTGGTCGCCAGTTATCTAAGAGCAAAGGGTCCTTTCTTGGTTTGGGGATCAGGGTAATTAGTCCCTGGCATAAAGTAGGAGGGAGTGCATCTCTATCAATACTCTCTTTCAAAACTTCCAAAAGAAACGGGGCTAAAATATCAGAGAATTGCTTATATAGCTCGGCAGTATGGCCGTCTGTTCCAGGAGACTTGTTCACTTTTAGGCATTTAATGGCATCTGAGACTTCTTCCAGAGAAATGACTCTGACTCAGCTGAGCAACATTATCTAAGGAAGTAAAGAAGGTACAGGCAGCTTGAGGACAGTATTTGGAGGAATAAAGTTTAGCATAAAAGTCAGCACAATACTTTGCAATGGTATTCTTACCGGTAGAAATTGTCCCGTTAATATTTAGTTGTAGAATAGAATTATTGTTGGACTGGTGTTTCTTGACTCTGAAAAAATAAGCCGAGTTCTGTTCACCTTCTTCAAGCCATTTTTCACGAGACCGAACAAATGCTCCTTCAGCTTTGTGTTTATAAATCTCATCAAGCCTGCGCTGTAAGCCATTAGTTCAGTCTTATCACATCACTGAGAGTCTCTATTGGTTTGGAAGTGAAGAATGCAATTTGATGTATTACTTCTGTCTCATCAGCTCGTCTTCTCTTTGCCAACTCACTACCATATTTTCTAAAAAACTTACCAAGTTCATATTTCATTAGCTCCCAGTTGCTACAGAACAAATTCTCAGCTAAAGCTTTGTTCCAATAAAGCTTTATCAAACGCTGAACTTCAGTAATCACGACTTTATGCTCAAGGATAGTGCTGTTAAGTTTCCAGTATGATGCTTTGGTATCAGAGGAGGCTGATAAAGGGGCAGTTAAATGAATTGCTCTGTGATCAGAAAGCGGTGCAGGATGAATGTCTGTTTTAACTTCTCTTAAGTTTTTAGAAACAAGCCAGTAATCGATGCGTGAGTGTCTGGTCTGCGTCTTGTTACACCAAGTACATGCTCTTTCATCTGGGTGAGAATCCCTCCAAGAATCAGTTAAAATAAAACTTTCTGCAAATAATCTCACACATGAGTTGGAGTCTAGACTTCCAGAAGGCCACCTGTCCTTACTATTGTCAAATGCAACATTATAGTCCCCCCCAATATTATAGAAGAATTTGGATATTTAGCCAACCAGTGCAGCAAACGCTCTTCCAACCTCTCAAAGTAAAGTTTGTTCTCTGTTTGACAGTTGATACCATACACATTGACTAGAACATAAATAGATTGTGAAGCCTCTAGTATTAAGAATATATAATGACCATCTTTATCGCAGTCAGAGGCTAAAATTTTTCCATTAAATCTGCTTTTCAGTATACAAACACCTGCAGAGCGTTCTGCACCGTGGGCCATCCACAGATCATCTCCCCACTGTGATCTCCAGTAAGATTTGTCGTGTTCTGTCGAGTGGGACTCTTGTGTAAAACAAAAATCTGTGTTAAACTGTTTGCAAAATAAAAATGTGGCTTTACGTTTAACATTGTTCCTCAAACCTCTCGCATTTAATGACATAATAGACAAGACATAATGATTAGCAAGCACAAAAAATAAAAAGACAAATGAAGGCTGTGAAAAAGTGGTTAAGTTGTGAAACCTGTGGTCACTTAAGTGTTGTTGAAGATGAGGACTGCAAACCTTAAATAAGGGAATTGTGAGCTTAAACCTTAATAAGACACATTTAACAAGAGAACAAAGTTAATGAAGCAAATAACCCGTCTCACATGTGTGTATTTACAGGAGAGAGTGTAATCTTTCACTTTTTCTGCCATTCAGCTCAGTCAGGAGCACAACAAGCACCACATGAATACTTCAGAGTGAAGTGCGTATTTAAATGAGCAAGAACTAAAATGTAGCAGCTTCATAAACACGACCAGAGCATGAAGTCATGTCACATAATAGAACAGGAACAGTAAAAACCATATTACTTCAGCTTGTATTTAGGACTGTCTCAGAGCAAGTCATTCAAGTGGAAACATTTCTTTTTCATTCACAAACGCACGTCCTCCAACGAAGAACGCCAGCTTATTCTGCTTGCCCGCCATCTCCACTTCTGGCCAGAGGAGATTTCTCCGGGCGCGGTCACCGGCTGCCAGGTCCTCCGCCAGCTTTAAATTGTTGTCTTTTAAGAAGGCCGACTTCTTGGCGGAAGGCCAGACAGCATCACGGTAGATCCTGGATGTAAACTGCATGATGACTCCTTGGGGTTGGTTGTTGCTGGGCTTCTTGGGACCGAGGCGGTGGACCGTATCCATGACGTCTGGTAGTTTATCCTTCGCCTCCGGTAAAACAGACTGGCAGATCTGTATAACCTCCCGGTGAATGTCTTCCTTCTCCTTCTCGGGCAAACCGTACAGTTTTAGATTCCAACGGCGCGAGTAGTTCTCCAGATGAGAAATCCTCTTCTCCTGTGTTTCAGCAATTGCTTTATATTTTTCAAGCCGTGTTTCAACGCTAGCGACTCTGTCCTTCATATCATTTATCTCAGCGCAGACGGCATCAAAAGACTCTTTCACAGATGTGATGTGTTTAGTGTTCTCTTGAACAGCTTTTTTCATCTCAGAGATCACTATCGAGTTGCCACTGACCATTTTTTCAAGAGTATCCGATCTTGAGTTGATCAGATTGGTGAGTGAGGAGAGCTGGGAGAGAACAGTAGATGTCTCCGTGTGAAGCACATGGTGTGTCAGGAAGTGGAGGAAAGTCTTCTTCCATCAGGGTGAACTGTGATGGTTCTGAGATTGCTTCCAAATAGTCATGCATCGAGTCGATAAGAGGATTATTAGTATCGGCAAGCTTTTCAGGAGCGAAAGTTAGTTTGGCGGGTTGGCTAACGCTAGGAGTCTTGCTAACAGAGCCCGTGTTAGCATGAGATTTCTTGGGTTCAGTCTTTCTTTTCTCAAGTTTGCTCATTTTGGTTCGATGGCAACAAACGAAAGTTGCAGTTGGCAATAAATGTCGAATCGGTGTAAATACACTTTTGTTCACCATGTTTCAGGTATAAAAAAGGCAGCTAGGTTTACAGAGCTCAGTGAAAAGTGACTGATCAGAGCGCCATCTTGGAAGCCACCAACCCTGGCTTCATGTTCTCAGTGCAGAAACCAACGGGTGACGTCACGGCAGCTACGTCCATCTTTTATACAGTCTGTGGTTAATATCCATGACTGAGAATGTTGTGAGACTCTCTCAGAGAGCTTTCAGCAGAGGATGTCCTGCAGGTTAATAATACGTGTGCCATAGTTCCAGGCTGACCACAGCGACATCGTCCATCTGGGTGCCTTCCTGCTGTTTTCAGATATGCTGTGAGTCTACAATGCCCCAACCTTCGTCTGGCAATTCTGACTTGATTAATCCGACAAGACGTCCACAGAATCCTTTATCCTGTACTGAAGGCTGACACTTAAAATAATGCTGCCACTCATTTCCCACTAACACAGTCAAGTTTAACTCTTCTTCTTCTTCTTCTTCTTCTTTTTGTGGGCTGGTGCCGCGTCCTGCTGGTTGAGGTTCAGATTGTCTGTAATCACAGAGATGTTTGAATGATTTAATGATTTTGGTGAAACTCTTCTTTAGTTGTCTTCTTTAATATTCATATTGACATTAATGTGACCAGTTTAAACCCATCAGTTTTTCTTCTTGCTTTTCTGTTGTAGTTTATCTGAGCTTTTTCATTTGTATTCGTTGATCTGATTGTATCGAAGGCTGCAACTTTATCTGATCTCACCTTTTATTTCTGACAGTCCTGGAACAATCTGATGACCCAAATTAAACCAGTTACAGCAGCACATCTTATCATATTTGACTAAAACTATATAATAAAATGTGGGAGCTTTCAGCGCTGGAAGGAGGCTGCTGCTGTTCAAACACACAAATCAGAAAAAGTTCACAAACAGGAAGCTACAGAGCGACTGATTTCAGATCCAGCATCTGCAAAATCCTGGACAACATGATCAATGAAAGACGAGAGTTGTCTGCAAGGTGTACATAATATATCTGGAATAAGCATGATTTTAGAAATATGAAACAGACAGCTGATTAAAACCTCTAGAGAATAAAGTCTAATTTATTATTATTATTATTATTATTATTATTATTATTATTATTATTATTATTATTATTATTATACTGAAGAAGAGTTTCATCAGAACCATATCTAGTTAGCGGACCACCACCTGGGCACCACTGCAACCAGCAGGTGGCAGAAAAACAGCAGCAGCAGCAGAAGACGATGAAGAAGAAGAAGCAGCGTCTCCTCGTCAGTGGTGTCGGACGGAAGCCTTTAGCTCGAACCAGAGAACCGACTGTCTCCTCTGTGGTCTCCGAACAGAGATGGATCGGTACCGGGAGGTTCCGGACGGAGTTCTGGAGCCTGAAACGAAGCTACGAGGAGAAGGTTGGTTCTGTTTCACTGTCGGAACCGTTTATTTCGCTAACAGCTAACAGTGTGCTAACAGCTAACAACAGCTAACGTTAGCCGAGCAGCAGAAACACAGTGAAGCAGCTGCATGCAGCTCCATCATCATCATCATCATCATCATCATCATCATCAAGCTTTACTTCTGGTGCCTGAGAAGAAAGAGCAACAAGGAAACGGCAGCGACAGGAATCAAAGTTTGTGCTGCTGATTTAAAGGATCAAACTAACAACAGCTGTAGACAGAGAACCGTTTATTACTATTATTAATAATAACAATAATAAACTTTATTCTTTTTGTGATAAAATATTTCAAACAGCTAAACAAAGCTGCAGCTTTATGGTCAGAATGATCCGCTGGATTACTTCTCACCTGTATTCACTGATTTTCGTGTCATAATCTTCACATTTCATCAGAGTTCTGCTTTAACTTCACGCTGAGCTGCTTCCTGCTAATGTTCCAACCTGCAGCTGAATTCAGAGAATCTCCTGGAGGCTGAATATGAATGAAGCTGAACCAGAACTCCTCCCTGAACCAGCAGGAGGCTGCACTCTCAGAACCGCAGCTTCTTCTCCAGCCGCACGCTGAGAGGCTTTGATTTGATTTGAACGTACTGATGAACAGGTAAATAAAATACAAATGGACTCTGCTGCTGTGGCCTCTGAGCTCTGTAGACGTCAAACAGGACAGTCTGACAGAAAGAGACGAAACACGAGGACGACTCTGGAGGCAGAATTCTATGTTTATTTATTCTATACAATAACATTTAATAAACATAAAAGCAACAACACACACACACACACACACACAAGTAAACTGGTCATGTGACTCCCACCTCAGAATCTGTGATGTCACTTCCTCCTGAGACTCAGAGACAGACATGAACACACACATGTAGACAGAACACTGATAGATCTGATCAGCTGGACATGGGTCACAAGGGAGCGCCACCTACTGGCTGAATGGTCTCCCTTCTGTCTTCAGCTCTTTGTCCAGCCCTCTACCAGATTCCTCCCCTTCACTGAGCTGGTAGACAGACAACATGATCACTGCTGGCTTTACAGGAACATGAGGAACCCTTAGAACGGTGCATTCATCACCACTGCTGCTCCTTCATGTGGGTAATAACACTGTTATTAGTCAGTAGTTATAAACAGGTTGGAGGGCATTGTGTGAATGAATATGGTCTGGTGGCACAAAGCTGAGCAACAGGATGGCCAGTGCTAGTTGTCCCAGCATGTGGTGCACTTCCTCAGTATGGGGACGGTTCTGTTCAGTTGTTCTGTGCATCTTCGGTTAAAGAGAGAACAGTTGGTCAGACTGAATCTGTTCATGTCATTTTAAAAATACAATAAACATAAATGAGGCCTCGTCCTAGAACTGGACTCAGACATGTAGATGTTATGTCCTGGGTTTAATTTGTGTACTGATAGAACTTCATACAGGCTGTACAGCAGACAGAGGAGATGTGGTCCAGGAGGCCAGAAGAATCCTACATCAGCATGAAGCGTGAAAATGCTCAATGTGTCAACATGACAACACAATGACATGATGAAAAGAAGAACGATGGAAACACGTCCTGTGGAGGGAAATGCATCTCATCGTGTTGAGCAGCAGACATGTGGACCAGTCCCAGGATGGACGTGTCCAGGTAGCTGATGACTGAGCTCCATCCGGTTCTTCTAGACTCTGACAGAAGCAGCAGCAGCATCACAGCAGGAGCTCTGCTCAGAGGATGAAGCCAGAGTTATTACACCTCTGCTGTCTCTGCTGGGACCAGTTCAGATGTCTGCAGTGACCAACATGACAGTTATGAACATGATCAGGATGTAGAACAATGAGGATATGAGCAGGGTTATGGCTGCTTCATGGAGCTGACAGTCATCTTGTCAGCAGGCTTCTATCATCTGATCACAGTTCATTAATGCCGTCTGGAGTTCATGATCATCATCTCTGAGCTCTGCTGCACAAACCTCACCATGACTCAGTTTAACGGAAACCAGCTAAACGCTGGTTTTACTGCAGCTTCCATCAGTTCAAACGTGACCGTGTGCAGCTTAATGACCTGTTAAAACAACAGTTCAGCGAGTTACCAGCAGCTCTGCTGTGCAGATGGAGACAGCAGAGATGTTCACAACGTTAAACGATAAAACGACATAAACAAACGTTCATTTGTTTTACGACGTTCAACCAATAAAACGATTCAGCACCAGGACTCACGTCGTGACCGTCCTCCATCAAACGCTGCTGCTGTCTTCAGCATCCAGTCAGAAGGTGACACCAACACCAGCGACCTGTCGGTGGTCCTGAGCGCTCTGAACACACTCAGACTGCTGCATCTGGGCCACAGCAGCAGGTCCATCATCATCCTACCTGTTCATCAGTACGTTCATTACACCATCTGCCCAGATGCACGTCTCAGCAGCCAGTTCTTATTGTCATTAGTAGTATTTTGGTGGAATAAACCTTTCAAACCTCAACTTGTTGGTTAAAAAGCACTATTTGGATGGAAACAACACTTTAACATTACAGGTGCGTGGACATGAAGCAGGACTTTGGATCAACCTTTTAAATTATAATTATACTCTGGGAGAAATCACCCTCTAGAACTAAGTCGTGCATTCTGGCCATCATTCATTGCGGTAGGGGGCGCTGTCCTGAATCAAAGCCTCTCAGCGTGCAGCTGGAGAAGAAGCTGCGGTTCTGAGAGTGCAGACACTGAACATCTGCCGACCTACAGACACTTTTCTCGCCTGAGAGGTGTTCTGGTGCTGAGTATATACCACCCTGCCACCTCCTGGTTCCCCTGAGGTCCTGGTAAAATCTCACCGGGTGGTTCTTGTAGAGAATCTGTCCCTTTGCTCTGGCAGCTCTTATCACAGTCATGTTGTCCTTGTAATTGAGGAACTTCATGACAACAGTCCTTCAGGCGTCGGTGTTTTTCTTCTGACCAATCCGATGCGCTCTCTCCAGTGTCAGAGCGGTGCGTCAGGGTGCCGAGTTCAGAGCCTCCGGTAGCCAGTTTTCCAAGAAAGCGCACGCGTCCTCCCCCTCCATGCCTTCGGGCAGGTTAACCAGTCTCAGGTTAGATTGTCGTGATCTGATCTCCAGATCCAGAACTTTTTCTTCAAGAACTGACAGAAGAAGTTTGAGAACCACTGATCTAAAGCAAATCTGTGGGAACAGCTAGAAACTATTTGGAGCTCAATAAGAAAAGAGACTGTCAAAAGGTACATAAAAACAATGGCAGCAAGAATACAAGGTGTGATGCTGAGATACCGACCAGAGGGACCAGCGAGGTTCATCTAGCCTCATCTGATCTCAGCCAAAGAGGCATCGAGATATGAAGGTTTTTGGTCATTATGTTATATGTTTTTTTTTTTTTTTTAAATGTTGTAATGTTTTTAAATGCTTTGTTGTTTTTAAATGTTGTAAAGCACTTTGCGTTGTTGTTGTTGCACATGAAAAGTGCTATACAAATAAAATTTGATTGATTGTGATTATGTGGGAAAAATGACTAATGACTAACGAAATAACATTTTTAGTTTTACACTTGTTTTTAAAAGACTTCTAAAATGTTTTTCTCATTTTTATGACGGGGGTCTAATAAATGTGTTCAGCGCTGTACATTCAACACGCTGAAGCATCTTTCTGCAGCTCAGGAGCAGACGAGAGAGAACAAGTGTGGAGAGGAACATGGAGGTAGTTCAACATCTACACGATGTGGACACAGTGTTGGTTCCAGTGTTGAAACATCTGAGGAAACATGTTGATTGCAGATTTTACACATTTCTGTTAAAACACAGAAATGTTTTTTTCTGGTTTCCATCATTCTGTGTCCTACGTTTTGGCGAACAATGAACTTTTGATAGGAGTTGAGAGTTAAAATGCAGATGTGGTGCTGCTCCTGTGTGAATGTTTCACTCAGATGATGAATTTACATTAACAGGTTTCTGTTTCCAACTCAGTTCTACCCTCAGATGTCCGAAAAGTGATTGTTGGTGAGGAGGAGCAGCAGCAGTGGAGCCCCAACCAGCCTCCCCACGTTAAAGAGGAGCAGGAGGAACTGTGGAGCAACCAGGAGGGAGATATCACCAAGTTCACCTTCAGTGCTTTCTCTGTGAAGACCGAGGATGACGGAGAGCTTCGTCATAGCCAAGGTGAACAGATGAAAACTGAAGCTGATGGAGAGGAACCACAACAGAGCTCAGATCTACATACTGAAGACAAGGATTCAGACACCTCAGACACTGAAGTCAGTGACGGCGACTGGGAGCAGAGCAGAGAACCTTCGGCAGGTTTATACTCCCTGAAAAACAGTGAGTTTACTGTCATTGATATTAACTGTAATGTGGAGAGATCCTTCAGTTGCTCTGAGTGCGGTCAAAGGTTTGGCCGCAAACCACATCTCAAAGCACACATGAGGATTCACACGGGAGAGAAACCATTCAGCTGCTCATTTTGTGGTAAAAGATTTTCTCAGAAGGGAAACTCCATCAGTCACATGAGACTTCACACCGGAGAGAAACCATTCAGCTGCTCTGTCTGCCAGAAAACCTTCAGATACAGCGGAGACGTCAGCAGACACATGAAGATCCACACGGGGAAGAAGAAGGGGAACAGCAGGATCAGAGATGCGGTCAGCAGTAGCATCAGCAATGGACCAGAGCCAAGCAGGAACATAAGTCCACACAGAAATTCAGAACCAGGAGCTGATGGAGAACCTGAGATTGCAGCTAGTGATGGCTGCTGGAAGGAAACCAAAGAGCCTCGGTCAGATTTAAACTTTTGTCAGACTGATGGAGTGTCTGTCAGTGATGGTAGGAATGATCCTGACAGAGAATCTTTCAGCTGCCCTGAATGTGGCAGAACTTTCTGCCGCAGAGATCATCTGATGAGCCACATGAGGACACACACTGGAGAGAAACCGTTCAGCTGCTCCGTCTGTAACAAACGTTTCAGCTGCAGTGGGAACATTCTGGCTCACATGAGGATTCACACGGGTGAGAAACCGTTTGAATGCTCGTTCTGTGGCAAAAGTTTCAGCCAGAAAGGAACTCTGCAGCTACATGAACGAATTCACACGGGAGAAAAACCATTTAGTTGCCCTTTCTGTGAGAAAAGGTTTGCACATAAAAGAAGAATGACACTGCACATGTCTGTCCACACTGAGGAGAAGCGCTTCAGCTGCAGCGCCTGTGACAAAAGGTTCACCTGGTACACACAGCTGAAGACCCACAGGTGTGTCGGTGAGTCATCACAGCCTCGCCAGAGCCAATCAGAGAAAAAGGCTTCTCCTAAGGAGTTCTTCAGCTGCTCTGAGTGTGGGAAAAAATTCAGTCTGAAGGGAAACCTGAAGACGCACATGAGAATTCACACAGGAGAGAAACCATTCAGCTGCTCGGTGTGTGGGAAAGGTTTTAAACAAAACGTTCATCTGACAGAACACATGACGATTCACACAGGGGAGAAACTCTACAAATGCAGAACCTGTGGGAAGGGATTCAATAAGAAGTTACTTGTGAAAAACCACACCTGTGTTTAACCTTGGCTTCAATCCATGGATTTATATTTATATACAGCAGAGTGGTACTGAATTCGCAGAGAAACCCAGACAAATGCAGATTTTTTATATTTGTTGAATTTATTTTAAAAGTTCCAAGCAGTAGCAGGGCCATAAATGTTCCTGTATGTGTGGAACTGCCAGCGCCAACACTGTTCACATGAAACATCCAACAGTTAATGAACTCTGAAAGCTACAGAGTCAGACAGAGCTCTGAGTTGTCCTGCATGCATCATATCATCATTTAATCATATGCAGAAAGATGTGACTCTGAAGCAGCTGAATATCAAAGTGTGAGATGTATTCACTGCTGATGGGGTTAAACTTGAAGTGCCACTGAATCAGAGCTGAATTCTATGAGAACACTGAGCGACGGTTACATTTCACAGTGAAGTCGTGATTGTGTGGTCGTCTGAAGGTGTCACATCATGTTTACAGGGTTACTCCATGAAAAATCAGTGCGTCCTCCTCAGAAGCATCTGATTCTTTATCTACAGTAACTTTAGGATGTTTAATGAAACCATACAGAGTCTTGCCTTCATCGTATGAATATTTTCACGGTTAAATACCCTTCAAGTACATCGAGATAGGTCCTCCTTTCATTTACTTTGCCCAGCATTTTTTTGCAACCAAATCAATTTAATATCCGCTCCTGGTGTTTTAATCTAAAGATAACATCTCATGCATTCATATTTTAACTTTGGTGAATGTATCTTGGGGCTGTGAAATACAGAAACAACTTTGTTGTTCACGTTTTATGGAACAGTTGGTATCTTGGTATCAACTCTGTTCTATGGGCAGAAAATAATGTTGCAGGAACTGTCGAGGTTTAATGTACGTCAGGAAATACATCCTCAGATTTTGCTTTTGCCAATGTTAAACTGTGACTGTATTGGAAAACAGTTCCCCTCAGAGTAGATCCTGTCTACAGATGGTTCTGGTAGGTTCTGGAGGTATAACGGTTCTTCCATTGTCTAGAACTGGCTCTGACCAACCACCACACATGCTGATATGAGCCTGGAAAGTTTACCCAGAATGCACTTTGTAAAGTTTCCTCTAGTGAATGATCAGAACCAGAACCACATCCAGGGTACCAATGACTCTGTGTCATAGACATTAAACTGGTACCACTATGATCCATCCCATAATACTGATGCTGCTGACAGAGGACATGAACAGAACCAGGTCCAGAGTTCAGACTGAGACACCTGGATGGATGTAGAACTGATCTGGTGTCAGGTTCTACCAGAACCCAGATGTGTTCTTCCTCCTAAATGTCATGTGTCTATCTGCTGTACTGATGAAGTTCTGAGGCTCAGAAATGATGGAAAAAGTCCATTAAAGTGATCAATCTGGACCCTCCTCTGTGGACTTGAAGGACCTGGACCTCTGGAACATTCATAGTCTGAAGGTAGAACTCTGGTCAGTAGATGAAGGTGCTGCAGAACCAGAACCAGATGTTCTCAGATCAGACTTGTCAAATTTGTTTCACGTTACTGGGATGATTGTCTTTCATTCTGTCTGATGAAGCCCGACTCGCCCTGCTGGTGTCTTTTAAATAGTCAACAGTGGTTCTGGTTTGCAGCTTTTTCTCTGTTTGCCATTTTTCAAAGCTAGAACTAAAGTTGATGTTACCAATGAAATTGTTGATCCCTTCAGAGTGTTATCGTCATTACTATTCAACACTGGATGTTCTGTTTTTGTTCTCATGTTCCTCATAAAGAAAGTCAGTCAGTTCATTCTTAAATATATGCTGCAGCTGCCTGAAACTGTGATTTAATTTACCCTGATACATAAAATCCAACAAAATGTTATGTTAAAACCTTAGACAGATAATGTGCTGTATAATAATAATAATAATAATAATAATAATAATAATAATAATAATAATAATGCATCGTACTTAGAGGGCTTCTCAAGATACTCAGACATTTTACATATTAGGCAAAACACTAAAGTGTTTCAATGTAAATGTATTTGGAGCATCAACAGTAAAGTGATGGTTGATGGAGGCAGAAAGAAGCTGGATTTGTCAAGACAAAACTGGAAATCTTACTTAGAGGAGGCCCAGTGTGAAGATGCTGCTGGATTTCAGTGAATGAAGAGAAGCTCATGTTTGAACATTTTGGAGAATTAAAAGTTTCACTGTTGTGAGCAGAAAAAAAAGGATGTAAAACGTTGCCCTGGATACGGTGGGCAGGAAGTTTGGCCACCAGAAACCAAAGAAGCTCAAATCTCCAGGATGCAGTCGCTGCTGGTCGACTGAAGGATTATTACAGTTTCTTCAGAGTGTTTTGAGCAGGATGTTGGTCACTGGTGTTTTATTTATTCATTTTTAACGTGATAATTAACATTTGAATGAACTTAATCTGTCTAAAGACATCATTCTGCTGCACTTAGACTGGCATTAAAAAACAGTTCTGTAGTCCAGACATTAGTTCTGCATCGCTGACTGAAGAATGTTGAGAAGAGATGTAAACTACTGAAACTGTTCTGATGAGTACAGTGCCTGTACAGTCTGTTCTAAAGTTACTGTAATCTGATTACTGGGCTTTATTGTGGAAAAACAAAAGGCTTGTTTTTCCTCCATCTCCCTGCAAAGGGCTGAATTATGTAACATCAAGAAGAAATCAGCATATTCCAGTATTCTGCGGTGGCCTTCACACACGACCAGCTGCAGCAGTTCACCAGTCAGCAGGGATGTCCATCCATCCATCCATCATCTCTACACCTTCATCCTCACCAGGGTCATGAGGGGCGGAGCCTATCCCAGCTGACTCAGGGTGAAGGCAGGTTCACCTGGACAGGTAACCAGTCTATCACAGGGCTACACTTAGAGACAGACAACCAAGCACACTCACATTCACACCTACGGACAATTTACAATCACCAATTAACCTCAGCATGTTTCTGGACTGTGGGAGGAAGCCGGAGAACCCGGAGAGAACCCACGCTGCACGGGGAGAACATGGAGACTCCACGCAGGAAGATCCCGGGTGTCCTCACCGGGACGTGAACCGGCGACCTTCTAGCTGTGAGGCCACGGTGCTAACCACTGAACCACCTGCAGCCCCAGCAGCGATGTGTTCAGTCAGTATCATTTAAAAATGTGCCTCTCTGTGTTTACTGTCGTCTATTAAAACTCACATCTTTAGTAAAGTAACAAATACTTTTATTTCCAAACTGAAGCCAAATGATGTCTAGAATGTGCTTTTTTAAAACGTGCAGCAACAAAGTCGTGAGGTGAACTTTTCAAACTGTATGAGTTAGCACAAGTGAAGTTATTGCATGTGGCTCATTGTTTTTTGTTGTCTTCATCCTCCACAGAAGCCAAGAGTACAAACAAATATCGTGGAAAAGTTTTCATCTACGAGTGAACGAACTGAGTTATATCTGTCATACACTGAAACACAAACATCAAGAGTGTGTGTTCTGAGACTGGTCTCCTGTACCACAAACTCTAACCTGTGAGCTGCTGTGGACGCTCACATGTCCTGTGTGTTACATGTCGGGGTGTTCTGATCCCATTTCAAAGAATGGGATCACCAAGAACCTCAGTCCAACCCCTTGTTTGCGTCTGTTGCCACACATGTCATAAAGGGAGATAACAGCTTGTGCCAGGATGCTGGGGATGCAAATATTCATTCGTTTTCGTAATTGATTATTCAATTTAATTCAATGCAATTCAATTTTATTTGTATACGGCAGTTTACAACATACACACGGACCAACAAGCTGGTAGCCGTCAGTTAATGAACGAAAAACCCACAACGGTCACAGAAATAACTTGAATCTGACAAAATAATAATAAATAAAAATTCTATGAAAACTAACCAATGAAGATCAGATGTTGCTTTTGAACTGTGGTTCAACAGAATTATTTAAAAAAATAAACTCATGAAACAGGCCTGGACTAAAATGATGAGACTGGGAGTGGAGGGACTGCTGTGTGTCTGCTTTAACAGGAACATGGCTCCATGACAGCATCCCAGACGGACAGACAGCTGGAGGGGATGCAGACAGACAGACAGACAGCTCTGGGCAGCATCTGCAGCTTCACCATCGTCACACCATCGTGTGTCTTTGTGTCCCTGAAGACCTACCAGGACCTGAAGAGGTTTACCATGTTCAACGAATGGACGCAGCGCCCCCTTCAGGAGGCAGCGAGAGTGAACGTTTAGGGTCTATCCCAGACGTTTATTCTGCTAAACTTAAGTGATCCTGAAGAACCGCTCTCTCCTCCTGCCTGTCCTGCTGTGGATGTACAGCACCATGACAATAACCTGGATCTGATCTGATTAGTAGAAGCTATAGATGGAGATGTGCTCTTTAAAATACCTGTTTGCTGCAGAGCAGAGTCATTTATTTGGGTAAAATGAAAAGTCTTTCTATATTAATATGCGCATTACTTATATAAACCTTCAGCAGGAGCACTGGAGGCAGTGACAGGCAGGAAAGTCCACTTCAGACTGAGCTGACACTCAAGCGTCAGGTCCGTGTGTGCATGTAATGATTTACTAGAATTCATGATCACATGACCAGAGACTTGTTTTAGATACATGCACATCATGTGAATATGTTCTCAAGGAAACACACTGGAGTAAGAGTTTTTATATTGAAGGACTTTTGGTTTATTCCGTTGCTTGCAGTGGGCCTATGACGTCCAACATCTCAGTTAAATAAGTCACTTTACATATTAGGTGTGAATCCATCCCAGAACATACGTGTAGGTGAATGTACGACCATTTCAGATGATAAACAGTCGATGGGTGAAAACATAGCTGGTATGTAAGGGATGCTGTGAACAGCCCTGCTGCTACTGTGCAGTCTTTCAGCTTTTATATTTTGCTTCTCTGTGCGGCCAGCAGGGGGAGTTGCTGACTTTTGCTAAATATTACCAGTGAGATTTTTCTGCTCGTTTGCTAATCTGCTTCAACGACCTTCGTCACTGTGGATTATAATCTAAATACAAGAAGTCTCACATCGAGTTTTCTGAGTGTGTTCGTTATAACACATGAAATCAGTGCGTAGCAGGTGTGTGAATGATCACTGATCAGTGTCGTCATCAGTGGAGGGCCCCAAACATCAGGTTTTGCTTCGGGCCCCTTGGAGGTTTGGGCCGGCCCTGGTCTGGACCTCCAACACGTCACACTGGGGTTCCTCCAACACCAGCTGAGGTCTCTCCGGTTCTCTGTACTTCTGCCATAACAGCCACGATCTCTTCCTTGGCCTTCTGGTCGATTAGCGGCACACAGCAGGGGTGTCTTGCTGCCCCCAGTGGTTGTCAGTAGAACTACACGAACTGTGAACTCACAGAACACGTTCGGTTGCAGGTTTTGTTTAACAGTGATTATTGATTCCAGTGATTGATCTGTGATCAGTTTCTTCTCTCCAGTAGTTCCCTGCAGAGCGTCATTCACACTTTCTGTATTTTCCTTCCTCTACCCATCAGAACAACGACCCAGTCTCAGCCTGGTTCTGCCCGTTCTTATGTTGGACATCAGTGTTTGCTGTATTTGCCTTTGTTTCATCTCCCATGAGATGAGAAGACGTTTACGGTCGACTGACTACTAACTGCACCACTGAGGGACATTCAGAACCAGTGAACCAGGACCGGGTGGGTTCCTGTGTTCTCATGTTCAACCTAAACTCAGCTGCTGTTTCCGTCTGGTAGCTTCGCTCCTGCGCTCACATAAACTGTCTCATAGTTTCTGATTGGTCCATTTACTGCAGAAGAAGAGTCACATGACACTCCCTTTATGTGAGCGGAGTCTGAAGAAGAAAACCTGGTAACAAAAAACTTAATAACCAGCGTCCAATATGTCTGACAGGTTTTGTGGAGCTGACTCTGGATTTGTAGTTCAGGCTCCAGGAGGCAGGCCAGTCCAGAACTCTGTCCTGGTGGTGGTCAACATTTACACGTCAGGTGCCCTACTGGTCCACTAGAACTGAAGAAGACTCTTGGATGAAGGTGGAACCTTTTTAGGACCTAAACAAGAAATCTGGTTGTGTTCCTAAAACTCCAGAGTTCCTGAGACCTGAATGGCTGACGGCCTACACCGACACCCAGTGATGCACACATGAAGCACACACTGGATTTAAACACCAGTCTTTTAGACTGACCACATGACTGGCAGCTGATTTGATTTCTGATTTCCTGCATGCCAGCAATTCTTTCCAAGAAGATGATAATCAGACAGCAAAACAAAAATGTCAGGTAGCAGTGATGAGGGTCAGGACTAACGGTATAGAACTACTGCTCTACCTGCAGCTGATGAACTCTTTGACAGCTGCTGTGAGATCCTGATCCATCTCGTCTCCATGTCAGGAATCATGAACAATTATCAGAGACTAATGAACACAAAGAACAGAGTCTCTGCTGTTGTGCGAATGTGTTCAGCTTCTCTCTCATCCAGTCCTGCTGCTGTCTGATGCTGGACATCTTTAACTGAAACTTCAGGCAGCTGGAAGCAGCAACCTGAACGAAACTCATCTGGGATTTGCTCTGACAGGCGCTCAGCAGGATTTCCACCCCAGAGGTCACTGAACACGGTTACATGCTAAAGGAAGGAAGTCAATCCACAACTCAGAATAAAGACTCATCAGCCCACATGAATGACAAAAGCAGTTTAAACGGACCTCTTGTTCTTACCGAGCACACACTGACTTCATGTGCAGGACAGTGCAGCAGAAGCCGGACTCGTGACTCCGTCCAGTTCAGTGATCTGAACTCTGGATCATCACTGAAGGTACATGAATGTGACGAAGCACAGCTTTACAAAGACAAACCTGCTGAGAGTCACTGACCGCAGAAGCAGATGAGGACAGTATCAGAGTACTGGATGTTTAATACTCAAGTAACAGAGACTGATGCATCAGTCAGATCTGTCTGACATAAACCAACGTTTCACAGACACAGCTCACGGATCTACAAGTCAGCAAACATTGAAGATGGCCTCCTTCCACAACTCCTATCTGCACAGAGATGGTCCTCCTTCATTACAGCCAGTCTCCACCTGAACAAGTTGCTCCTGTTTGGAGAAATGTGGACGTCCTGACGGCTGCACAACACAGGAAGACACCAGGATGACTTTATACAGCTCTCCTCTCCGCTAATCTAACGGCAGCTAAACGTGCCGTTCATGTAAAGTGGTGACAGAAGCCTGACCGGGTTGGACCGTGGACCACTTCCCTTCCAGCAGTCTGCACTCAGTCACAGTAACAGACCCACCAACAGGCCGGCGCTCCACAGTTCAGCACCAGTGTTTGTCCAAAAACATCACAGTTTGAAAATCACAAAACACCTTTATTCTAAAAATTAAAATCTGCCCATAATAATGAAACGTTAAACTTTAATGACGCTCACTGAAAATGGATGTGATGCCTGTTTTCAACACGACACAGTCAAGGGAGCAAAACACCAGCTGCTGCTTCCAGCTGCTTGTAGGACTTTTCCTCCAAGGTTTTTGGATGCATGAAGCCTCAAACAGCAACAACATGAAAAGCTCAGAATTCAACTTAAACAGCATCACTACAAACACAAATTATTTCTTTGTTGAAAATCAGGTTTAATATGATCTGAAGTGCCCGAGTGAGTCAAACATTCCTCAGATGTAACAGCACGTTTCGTCTATTGTGGACAAAGAGCGTGAGTTCATTCATCAGCTGGAGTCTAAAGGACAGATGACGGTTACAGGTACAGCTCTGATCAGCACAATCCAGCAGCTGGCGGCACAGACACATGCATTCTCATGAACCCTCTGAGCAGTTTCTGGTGTTTAATCTTCAGTCTCTTGGTCCTTCACTGAGGTTCACGTTTCTCTGCAGCTCTGAGGAACCAGAACCATGAAGGAGGAGCGAGAACTCAGAGACGTCTGCTGTCAGCAGGACTCAGAACCAAAATATATAAAAACAAAAAAGTAGAAAAAAACAGTTGAATTGCTTTGATTATTTATTTTACAAACATTGGAGAAAGAAAATGGAATCATCATGTCCAACATGTTTCCAAGTGTCCACAGGTGTTCCACCACAGGAGAGCAGGGAGGCTCCACGTCCTGTAGATGTTGACCTGCTTCGAGTCTTCATTAGCTTCCGTCTCGTTGCCTGTCTGAAACTCTGAATGTTTCCCCGTTCGTCTGTCAATGAGGAGCTGAGTGTTTTTGTTTTTTACAGAATCTGATTTGAGGAAACAGTTCAGACAGGTTCCAGTTTGGGCAATGACATGATGAGATATGAAGAATACAGTGAACAATGAAACACCAGGATTTGAACTCAGTCTTGGTTCAGTTTCCTGATGAAGCCAAACATCACAGATGATGTGTTCAGGGACCGTCAGTAAAAAACTGGTCTATTCTTTTCTGTTTTTACAGTTTCTGGCTGATAAATGGTGCGATGGGGGAGATTATTTGAAGATGTGCATTTTACACCAGCAGCCAGGTTGTAGGATTCTAAGAGCTGAAGGAAATACGAGCTCCAGAGTTTCCGAGATGTTCAAACAAACCCTTGAATCATTTCTTCCCTCTGTGTACTTCCAGGTGTTTGGTCAGACCTCCCCTTTGAGCATAACTCTTCCCACACACAGAGCAGCCAAATGGTTTCTCTCCGGTGTGAATCCTCATGTGCACTTTCAGGTTCCCACGTTCTAGAAAACCTTTACCACATACCGAGCAGCTGAAAGGTTTCTCCCCTGTGTGGATTTTCATGTGCTTCTGTAAACATCTGTTCCACGAGAAACATTTCTTACAAACCGAACACCTGAACGGCCGTTCACCTGTGTGACACCTCATGTGAGCCTTCAGCTGTCCCTGAAAGCCAAACCTCTTCCCGCACTCAGAGCAGCTGAAGGACTTCTGGCAGATATTCCATCCCACAGTGCTGACAGCAACTCCAGGTTCAGAGCAGTGTGAGGCCCAGTCAGCAGTACCCGGCTGCACATCTGCATCTGGTTCTGGTCTGGGTCCTTGGACAGGGTGCGTTTTCTGCTCTGTGTGGTTTTGATGAAGCTGTGAGGACTGACGAATACACTCATGGCTATTGAGTTGATAAAGCCAGGTGAACCTCCTGTTGCAGACGTTGCAGCTTAACACTGGGTCTCCTCTGTGGACCACCATGTGCTGCTGCAGATTCCCCCTTTGAGCATATCTCTTCCCACACACAGAGCAGCCAAATGGTTTCTCTCCAGTATGAATCCTCATGTGCACCTTCAGGTTTCCACTTTCCACAAAACTTTTACCACACACTGAGCAGCTGAAAGGTTTCTCCCCTGTGTGGATTCTCATGTGCTTCTGCAAACGTCCACTCCACGAGAAACATTTCTTACAAACCGAACACCTGAACGGCCGTTCACCTGTGTGACACCTCATGTGAGCCTCCAGCTGCCCCTTAAAGCCAAACCTCTTCCCGCACTCAGAGCAGCTGAAGGACTTCTGGCAGATATTCCATCCCACAGTGCTGACAGCAACTCCAGGTTCAGAGAAGTGTGACATCCGGTCAGCAGTACCCGGCTGCACATGTGCTTCTAGTCCTCGTTCTGGTCCTCCCACAGAGTGTCTGTGATGAAGCTGTGAGGACTGTGGTTTCTCCTCATCATCCTCAGTCTTCACTGAAACAGGACTGAAGGTAAACTTGGTGATTTCTGC